TAAATTTTACTTTAAAATGTTAAATTAAGAATGTTTAAATGTTAAAAAGACTGAAAAAAAATTAAAATAATTGAACATTTACAGGTCCTTTACAGGTTGTTTGATAAGAACCTCTGCCAAAAATCATAACAAATGATATAATTAAATTATCAAATTCCATTATGATACATGACAGTATCAATTTTATCACCATTAAAACCTAAATTAACTTATTATCTTCAATTATAGATATAATTTTTAAAACATTTATATATTTGTGTATTTAAACATTAAAAAAAACAAGTAAATAAATTTAAATAATTAAATTATTTATTAAATAAGAAAATCTGAAAAAATCGTACACAATTAAAATCGAATTAAATATAATAAAAGTATTATTATTATTATTATTGTTATCTGTTAAAGTTAAAAGCGATAACACTAATTTAGTTATTACTAATCACCTTCAACTGTAAATTATCAATTTTATAAATTCAAAATGCGTAAATAATTAAATTATTATTATTATTATTTTAAATATCGAATTAAAAAACAAGGAAACAAAAGATTTCTTCCAAGGGGTGCGCATTATATATAAGACACGCTCAATAAGAACGTGCCAAATTGCTCAATTAAAATCAAATTTTATAGATGATTTTCTAAGAGATTATTTTATCGATAAAAAAATAATAATTTTTTTATTATTTTAAGTGCAAAGAAAATAAATTGTTGTTTTCGTTTCAGTTGCATTTTATTTACAGTCGAATAAGTCGTGTTGTCATAAACCACGAGTACAGTATTTTAAAACTATTATTGTGCAGTGGAGCAAAGTTATTCGTTGATTCTTGAGCTAACCATTTCGATATAAACACATTATATATATATATATATATATAAAGTTAAAGAAACTAGGAAACTTAAACAAGAAAAAAAAAATATCCCCTCCTTCCCCTTATCTTTCTTGTATATAAATATACAAAAAGATAAATTTTCGAGATGGTATTAAAGTTTTTATAGTAAAATGGACAAGCAATATAAGTTCCAAACAAGAAACAGAAGGGGGGTAAGTATATATATATATATATATAGTATATACATTCTTATATTTATTGGATTTGCAATAAATTTTTTCATACACGAGGGAGGACTTTGTAAATCAGGTTGAAAGGACAAGTTGAGTTTCTTTTAGAATTGGGTCGATGAAAAGAGACAGTTAGTGTTGGAAAGCCACTACAAAAGTCAACTTCAATATTGTTTTCACGAACGGTAAAGGAAAGAAGCAAGACGTTCGACGATTACCCCGAGGAACTAAAGTTTAACGATATTGGTTTCGAGCCAAAAGTCAAGACATCGAGTCGCCTTAGCTTTTGTACTCAACAATGTCCTCTTATCGATATCTATTGTCCCTCCCCAAGAAAAAAAAAAATAAAGAAAAGAAAAAGAAACTGATCCGGCTATACGTAATTACATATTTTCTACAAGAGCCATGGTATGATTGTTGATGAGAGGAACGATAACGTTTACTCAGGAGTGTTGACCTGAAAGGTGGTGCCACAGAAAAAAAAAACGGGGGAAAGAAGGAAAGTTTGTTATGATTCGGGCCAAAAATAGGACAATTTATCCGGTTGGATCCACCAGAAATATCTCGAGTGGCTTTAATAATCTGTCAGGAAATACAGTTGATCGAATTACGTTACTGTTAGACAGAAGCAGGAACCTACTTTCGCTCCATCCAATCTCTCACTTGATAGAGAGAGAGAAGGGAAAAAAAAAATAAATAAAAGTCCACCTCCTTTAGTAAGAGATGTCATTTATGGTACACGAAAACTGATTTTAGATATGTTATTATGAGGCTAAACACGCTTGTCTAATACAGGGGAATGATAAGTATCGTACATTGCACAGAATATACAATAATGCAATTTCGGTCATAAATAGTTTTAATGGCTTTTTAATGATTATCCAAACTTGAGTGATGAATCGTATCGATCATTTAGGGGGCCATATATCAGCCGAAAGCAAGAATAAATGAATAAATAAGCAACCTATTAAAATCTTGTATTCATTACGGATGGCTTGCAGAATATTATCAGAGAATAATTATGCATAAAACTAACAAAAATGAAAACTAAGCTGCAAATATTCCATTATGAATAAAACTAGAACGGTGTGGAGTAACGTAATGTAAAGAGCGTGAGTACGTCTAATTATAATGACAGACATGCAGACAGTATAACGAACTAACGATCATGTTTGAGGTAACAATGAATGTGTCGCATTGCCACCAAGTTTCTATCTAACATCTGCAATTCCTTGGTAAATTGCACGATTCTACTGTCAGTTTCGAACATTTTTAATGATTTTAATTGGCATTTTATCTCAATAAAATGCTATTATTAAAGATAATTTAGTCTATTTAATTTTTTACTCCTCTTTAATCAGTGCAAGTTAATGAGATGGTGACGAGACTCTTTATTGCGGTATATGTACGGCCCCTTTTTTTTACATAACTTTTGGTAATAAATTCATTTTGTTATTTACACTTGTCTTTTTTTTATGGGAAAAAAACAGCCTATCTATTTAATTTTTTACTCCTTAAGAAGGTATTTTTCTAATCATATTTTTGGAAATGATGGCAAATAAAGTAGTGTCTGCTTATAATGAACCTGTATGGACCATCAGAACTGACTTACTTCTGCAGTAAACCAAAACAGTGCTTATTTCCAAATATTTCCACTAACGTTTTCGAACTTAGTTCTTCTTCAGGTGAAACGGGTAGAATCNTTTACTCTTCGGTTGCAGATTATTAAAAATCATTGTTTTCCCACTGCTGATGCACTGTGTACTTTTAGAAATTGCGATTTATCTAAAGAAAATTCCGGTTGATGTATGCAACTACGACTCGATTTTTTTTTAATATTCTAGCTAATTAGCTCGACGTATAGATTAATTTTTCATACATAAATCGATGGAAAAATTATTATTATATTTTTTTAAAATTTAAATGTATTTATCTAGAAATTATCCTGTTCATTACTAATGCATTTTATTTGTTACTTTGAATGGTTTTACAGTTTTTTTTCGAATTTTGTAAGCGTTAATTTACGAATAATTTCGAATTCTGCCACGTTCCTGTAGGGATTCTCGTTTATTATTTTGTATTTTATATGTTAATTTATATTATTTTTAAACTTTAATTTCTCCTCCTCCTCATCATCATCATCAAGTCTTACATTCTATTAACGCTCAAACTGCTGTAGATCTCTCCATCTATTTTAGTGATTAAGAATAATTTAACAGGAATGGATGATGATAAAGATGGTTCTCTATTAAAGTTCATACTATTATTGATCTTTCCATACCATTTTTTGGAGTTATCAATGATATTTTTATCATCCATAATGGCTAAGCTAACAGCTTAATTTATAGTTCTCAGCATCATCATCATCACTTTTACCATTTTATTTTTCACTTAATTAATAAATGTAAGAATTAAATGTACTAAATATCATACCTAGATTAATTTCCAATTAATTAAATGTATATCAGAAAACAATTTTAATAATAATTTAATCATCTATACAATAGTTAATATATACAAATTATTTTTCTAATTGTCTTTTCAATCTTTTTTAATGTATATATTTACGCAGATTTTTCTGTAATTTCTTCCATAAAACACGATATTTCCCCATCATCCATAACAGAAATTAATCATTCCAACTTTAGAAAAATGATATGTTTGTTTGTCGATCCGTATATTTACTAAGGTTAATCGATAGTAAAAATGAAAAATATAATAAAAATTGTTTTTAAAAATCAATGTGTGTGTGTGTGTGTGTGTGTGTGTGTGTGTGTGTGTGTACGTATAAATATATTTTATCATAATTTAGATAATGGTCTCGTGTGGTGTTTCTACGGAGGTAAACAGGAAAATGAAACCAGTGTATTTTTATAATGAACCCAATTCCTCTAGCAAACTTAAGGGAAGAAAAAAAGATGTATATATATATTAAGAAAAAAATATATAAAAATAATGCATTTTTTCCACTTTTTAATTGGACTTAAGAAGAAAATTTTTTTTTTAAATAATTGGTATTATTATAAGGAAACTTCTTGCAGGAAGTAGTATCTTGTGATGACGGTGTCCTATTGCACAGATATATCCGCCTTGAGGCTTTCCTATAGAGTTAAAGTGTCACAGAAAAAGTGTGAGAAGAATCGATAGAAAATTCCATCATCCAACTGTCCTCGAAAATAAAGAAAAACAAAAATTGATTGGAAGCGAAGTGGGGGGTAGTAAATGTGATCAATCAAACAACAAAATAGGACGAAAGTTCCGGCTCTTTGGAAGCTATACATCAAGGAGGTTATTTGTCAAAATAACTTTAGACTAAGAAAAGTTTCCGCCAAAAACATTTTCAAAATATTACAACAGTAAAATATACATTATAGTTTAACTTTACAAGGTAATGGAGCTCGTGTTATAACGATCACCCCGCCATTCACTATTCGATATGGTACTTACAACAGAAACAACTTTTCTTCTTTCCTAGATGGAAATTTCTCAAGAAGAAAAAATAAATAAATAAATAAGAAAGGTTGAAAAATTTTTACTCAAACATATCAAGATTTGTTGACTGTTTTCTTTGATCGTATATTTGAAAAACTGTCGAGATTTATGCAAAATTGACAATTGATCGATGGCAAATCTAGTGGAAAATGTAAGCAACGAAACGTATTTTATTTTTATTTTTATTTATTTTTCTTCCCCTCTATATTTTTAAATTTATTTAAAGATGTGAATTATTCTATACGTATAATCTATTATATATATATATATAAATTTTTTTCTCCTTCTATTTATTATAAAATGGGATAAAAATTAATATTTTCTTGGCATTAAAAAAAGTAAGTTTTCGATAATTATTTACATTTGAAAAGGATTACTAAATTAATGATTCTTTAGTAAGAAAAATAAGAAATTTATAATAAATAAATTGTGTATCTACATCAGTATCGTGTTAAGAAATATGTAAACAGTAAGTTTACTTGTTCAAATATTTACCTATGTTGTTACAATGTTGCTTGTTTATTACGATGGAATTTTAAGAAATTATTTTGTTTTAAAAAAAAATTCAAATTTTTCTTTTATAAAATCACCAATTTAAATGAGTTTTTAACTAGATTAAGAAGCAATAATGTCTTAAGATAAATACTTACTGACCACTAATCCAAAATATCGGTTTCGTATTCCTTTTCATCTCCTAAACCTTCGTCAGGAGAATCTCTTGCCTCTGGCGATAGTGAGAGATGAAAAGGGATGATTGGACTACGTTTCCACGTACCTTGATTTGATATCGATGAACTAGCTAAATAATTGTCTTCTTTAAACATTTCGTTTTCAGATTTAGTTCTCATAGCAGCTCTTAACAACTGCGGATGTGAATCACCATAATGGTCTTTCCTCCCAGGAAGAGTAGCAATATAAAGTGCACTTTGATTCCTGACATATTGGATATTTTTGGCACTGTAATCGCTAGTAGAACTACCGTCACCCTCTCTCCTTCGATATTTCCACGTCCTGTGATCCCCAAATAAGGAGGGTTCGCGCGTTCGTGACAAATATAGGTCATCATCATAAACTGCTCTTCTTACAAAGTCCCTATCTGGTATGTCACACGTCGAGTAAGTCTCTTCCGATTGCACACTGTTTCCGGCTTCGGATGCGTATCCGCTGTTACCTGTGATCCCGTGAGGGGTTGCTTGTGGTTCACTATCCTCTCCATCCCCGCATTGCCTCTCTAAGCTCGTCATTTCTAGTTGATTCTGTTTGAGAGAATCGAAATTTTTATATAATTTCACACCTATATTTTTTCTCTCTTCCGATGGTGCCTGTCTGTGCTGAAGTACCACGAAGCATACTGCCACAAATAACAAAGTCAATACGGAGAATAGTCCGATAACAATACCAGCTATCTCACCACCTGCCAGTCCAGAACTATCTTCGCTCCTCGCATTCACGGTTAGAGTCACATTAACGGAAACGTTTCCCGCTCTGTTGGCAGCAACGCATAGATATCTGCCACTGTCTTTCACCATCACATTCATAATTGTCAAGGTGCTTCTTTTATGTATGGTACCCGTCTCGCGTATCATGTACATTTGTCTTCCGAACGACATGAGTGAAAGATTGGTTATCACTCTTCCTCTCCACACCCAGTGGACCTCAGATTCAGGCACGGCACGAACTCGACACGTCAGCGTGGCATTTGTTCCTTCCGACAGAATTAGATGAGTATCAACGGACATAACTTCCGGTGGACAAGCGAAATCTTGAAGCTCCAACATGTCCCATGTTTTATAACGAACACGCTGAGGTTGTTCACATTTGGGTGGAATACTGATAGGTACGTTGTTATTGATCATCCATTCTCTCACCTCTAGAAGTCCGCAATCGCAATACCACAGATTTTGATGAAGATCGAGAGCGTAGAGAGGAGGGAGAGATTGTACAACTTTGCCACTCAATATCCTTAATTTATTACCGTTCAATCTTAAATATTCCAGATTTTTAAGTCCAACGAACGCATTAGGTTGGATAGTATCGATCTGACAGTGCGACATCTCTAATGTTGTCAGCTGCACCAAGTCGACGAATGTACTATTTTCGACCACCTGAATGGGATTATGACTCAGTTGAAGTTTCCGGAGTAATTGGCAGTCTTTAAATATCGCTGAAGGCACCGTTGTCAGGAAATTGTTGCTCAAATCAAGCTCCACGAGATTTGATACTTGGTAGAAGGCATCACTAGTTATGGTTACTAAACCGCACCTTGTCAGGTAAATTTTCTGTAAATTTACTAGACCAACTTTCTGAAATGCTTTACTTTTGAGCGTGTGAAGAAGATTCCCACTTAAATCTAATACCTGAGCACCTGTGTTCAATCCAGATGGCACATTCACTAAATCGGCACCAACACACTCAACAGTTTCTTTACCATTCTTCCATTTACAGGAGCAGATACTGAGACATTCCGGCATGGAATATACGGGTTGTAAACACAATACAACTAGCACCAATCTGACCCTATATAGGGACATAATGCACTGTGGACGTTATACTAAAGAGCATAGGAAAACCAGAACACATTGTTTCTCTTCAGTCCATTTTTCATCTGGGCAGAGCAATGTAGGTAATTCTTTAACCAATCTAAAGAAATAAATAATAATACAATTTATATAATTTTAACTTATATAATTAAATTATTCATTCGTATATAAAAAGAATTTTTTTAAATTTTTATTAATTGTTATTAAGTTTAGAGAAAATATTCCAAAAATGTACTTCCATTAGTTACTTCAAGAAAATTTTTACTATAGCTATAGAAGAAAATTATCCCAGTTGCACTTTAAGCAAGAGAATTTGTACAAATTTTTAAAATGTATAAAAAGATCTTACAGAAAACCATGCAGCTAATTACAGTCGGCAGTTTTTCTTGTAATTGTTTCGGATAAAGAGTCGAGTTGGCAGAAGAGACTGACTGAATCGAAATGCTTTCCAGTTTCAAACAAGTCATTTCTTTCCACTTCTTGACAGCAATGCATTCTAGTGAGAAAGCAAGGGAGAGAGGAGGAGAAGGAGGAGCAGAAGGGAAAAAAAACACTTTTAATTAGTTTCAAGAACGAAGCTACTGCCATATACCACAAAAAATAAAAATAATATAAAGAAAGTTTGTTTATCTAGATATTCTTCTAACTATTATTATATTGAAGTATCTTTCTTTATTATTTTTATTTTTTTAAACATTTATATTCGTTTCCCCTTATTGATTCTAAAGCTAAATGTTAATATAACCCTCTTACAATAAATTAATATTAACTTATTGCGATTAATACTAATTTTTTAAATAATTTAAGTGATTTTAAATTGACGTTATATCGAGTTTTTTTTATATATAAAGTAATGAGTTTGGATATAACGTTAGATGCTGCGATACATTTTTATGGGTTTGTTTATTGTTAGCTGGAAAAATAATGTGGAGGATTGCTATTAAATCATATATTTGGACATTAAGTAAGCTCTATTATTGTGTTTCCTGTGCTTAAGGAAGAATTATGTTTAGGCATTCCTTTTCGAGTATTTAATAAACAAATCGATATGTTATATGATACAACATTCATTCTAGTATCAATTCATTAAGTATTTGAAAAATTTAAGAAAATTCTATGTTAAATTCGATTATTAATGCACATTAAATTATGTATAAGGTCGTCTATTCAACAGAATAATCTATATAATTATTAAACACTAAAATTGAGTGTTCACCAGTGTGTTTTATACAATAAAACATAAAAATATAGAAAAAAAATCTCTAAAATATATTTATAAAAATAATATTAATATACTACTTTAAGGTTAACGAATTTTTAAAGTTTAAATTCGATTTTAATTAAAATTTTCTATATATTTTTTAAAAATTCAATATGTTATAAACTAAAAAATTATTTAATTCGTAGAAAATTTTAAAAAGTAAACATTTTTAAAACGTTAGAAAATTGTAAAATTAGTAATTTTAAAGCTTTCTCGTATATTACTTCGAATTTAACACACATTCTGGTTTGTAAAAATTAATATTTTGTGGAAAACGAAATGATAATTAGAAGCGTAAATGGAGTTTTCAATCTTTAATAAATTTTTTCAATGTTAAAATTGCATTTAAAATAAAGTAGAAATAACTGAAAATATACTCTAAATTTTTCGTTACGTACGGACTTTCGAAGAATTGAAAAATATCTCCCGAATTAAAGAATTATTTCTGAATTGAATTTAAGATCATCTCCAATTTAAAACCCAGCAAAGCACCCCAATTTTAAATCCAGAAACACGTAGAGAAATGCTTCTAAATTGGAAATATTGTATAACTTACACCAAACCGCACAGAGCCCAAATCTGTAGAGCCAATGATGCTCAGAACCCAAATCTGTAGAGCCAATTATGCTCAGAACCCAAATCTGTAGAGCCAATTATGCACAGAACCCAAATCTGTAGAGCCAATTATGCACAGAACCCAAATCTGTAGAGCCCAATTCTGCACATTCACTTAAAATTACATATATCATTTATAGTTTCTAAAATGACACAAATCTTTCATTAAAGCTTACAGATATATTAATAAAACTCCTTATTTTCGAGTAAATTTTGAAACCGTAGAAAGAAACGAAATCAGAAATTAAAAGAGGAAGAGGGGTGAAAAAAAGAAACAGAAAGAAAAATCGATGCGAGACATTTAGCTAACACGACGAAAAGTTTTAGATCCGTACTTCATATTTTATTCATATTTTAAAAAGATAATTAAGGCTTATTCTCTATGAAGAATATTAAAAGAAATCGAGAGTAAAGCTTTTATAAATTTGAAAAATTCTCTCTATTTTTAAAATTGTTCGGATATCACGTAAAATGCTCGTTATCTATTAATATATCGGCAAAGAAATGTTAAACGTGTAAAAAGGAAATGAGTTTAATGGTACCATTTTTAAAGAATAATTTATAAGCATAATTAAAATATTCAAATGCAAACATTAATTTAAAAAGAAAAATAAATAATTAAAAACAGGTTTTAAAAATGATTATTTTCTTTAGAACATGACAAAAGCAAATATTTGTTTGTCTTTAATTTTTTTTTTTTATTTAAAGAAGATCTTAATTAAGACATCGAGATACTTGATAACAAAAATATTTGACTAATATATCAAGTAAGGACCCACTTTGTATATTGTTTTTTTAAACTAATAATTATTTTACACACGTAATTTAATTTATAAATAGCATGATTATTATTTAATGCTTAATGATAATTTGATAGAAACATACTAAGTAAATTACAGATTATCTTTTATTCCATCCTTTATACATTTTTTTTCCTCCTTTATCACAAATATTTAGCTCCATCCTCAAAATAATTATATTGTTACGAGAAAAAATTACTGTGAAATCGTCACAATGCCAGGCTGCAATATTTAATCATATTTTTAAATTTATTTCATTTAAAATATATGCTCTCGATCTCAAATTAGTAATGTATTGCCCCTGTAAATCATACTTTTCCTGATAACAACAGAGTCATGTCTGTCATCTACGTAACTCCGTTCGGGGGTAAAATTTGTGAATCGAAATCACGTGACTTCCGGTTTAAACCGGAAATTAGTATATAGTTAACCGGGGCCTCTTGCTCCTAAGCTTTCCATATCTGGTCTTAAGAATGGCGTTAGATAGATAAAGTTAAGATTAAGGAAGAATAGAAATACCTCACACTACAATAATAAGAAACTGGGGTGATTAGATAAATTTTATGGTATTTCATTGAATTTTACACAATAAAGTTTAAATTTTGAAGTATATAATGAATTATTACACTGGATTAACATCAGAATTGATTTTACACATGCAAAGAATATATCTAGCAGTGTTCAAACTTAGATAATGTTCACGATTTTACACTATCTAAGCTCGAACAATGCAGGCTAAATCTATAAACTTTATTGTATCATCCGTATTCAAATTTATATATAAAGCTGGACTAGAATAAAACGAAACAAGCCTTAAAATATAGTTCAAAAGTCACAAATTATTGGAAAGAAAAAAAATTCTATAAATTGAAAGTTGAAATCTCCATTGGATGAAATATTGAAAGTGGTAAATCATGGAAGAAGATTTTAATCATAAAGTTCTTTAAACGTCTACTTAAAACAACTTTAACTCTAGCAGTTATTGGATTATTTAAATGGTAATAAATGGAAAACTCCCCGTGTTTGAACGTCATTACTCATATTTTCAGAATATTGACATTCTGTCATTTTAATAATCCCAGTAGGTTGATTAAAATATGACAGTTGGATGGGAGAAGTCAAAAGTGGGAAATGGTGATTACGAAGCTTTTAGAAATCAATTTCTTGTCAGCTACTTTATTTTTTTTTTTATTTTTTACGATCAAGAGCGAACGACAAAGTGCAAAAGTCCTTCATGCATCTTACCATACTTGTCCACAACTAGCGAGAGAGTTTCGCTTTGCCACATCTTGCTCTATAGACGTATGGCATCCATCACTGTCAGTATCAGGTAAAAACCTTTCTCCATCCAGAAAATTGTCTGTTTCCGTCTATAGGTGGTACGAGAGAAACGACAGTCGATAGCAGACATGGTAAATGTATCCCCCAACAATGTGGTATCTACGGTTTAATACTAATAAAAGGTCAGTGGACCGTGATGTATCCCAATCAGTTTTTCCAATTTACTGGCTGCGCTCTTATTTCTAGTTCTGTTACAATTATATTTTTCAACCTTAACTTGAAAGCGCTATAGCAAATACTTTATCGATCCGTTCGTCCCTTTGCTTCTTGCCAACAGTTTACTTTTTTTTTATTTTTAATAATTCGAACGCTTATGGCTTTAACGTGCAATATTTCAATTAATATCCAGGTTGAAAATTACAATTTTTCAATGTTTTCCTATAGCAAATTGATTACTTTCCAGCCATATTTTAAACACATTTCTTTGATGATTTTTCACGCAGATTTTCTTGTAACTGTAATTATGTATGGAAAAATAATTACTGCCAACCTGTAGATTATTATAAAGGTTACGATTTAGAATCATTTTACAAGGAAGCAAATTGCTCATATTGAATTTAGTATCTTCTCCGTGATATCACCATAGAAACGAAATGTGAAGAATGCGCTTTAGCACTGTTACAAAGTATACTAATAATTAAAATATACGATAACAAATCGAAACTATTCAATTCGTTATTATAACAGTACTTAACTTTCATGCAAATTTAGGAAACAGCACAAAGAATATTTACAATATTTGTATAGCTACGCTGATCAGCAATGCGCTATTATTACTATAACGGCATTCATAAATCATTTATTTAAATGAATGTTTGTGTACGAGTAAACGAGCAATCCTTGTTACTATTACAATAATCAAGCAATTGTTTCTCCTTGATAAATCATATAACAATCAAAAATATATTTAAAAAACAATCAAAGAACCCGTAAAGAATCATCAGAAAAAAATTCCTATTGTTTCCCATCTTCGATTCTTTCCCTGTATCTTATATTGCCATATTCTACCTTCCTATATTGTATTATATATTCCTGTATCCTATATTGTTATATTCCATTTTCCTATATTCTATTTTTCTTATACATTCCTGTGTTTTATCGTTTCATATAGGCCTATTTACTATGATTACAATTAACAAGGCATCATTTTCTTAAGGAACATCATCACTTCATAATTTACATATATAATTTTTAAAACAATATTTATATAAAAATAAATCCTTAAACAGAGATGTAAAAATGATTGTCGTAACGCCTACATATTTAATATAATTTATTCATTATTATTCTAACAAAATATAATAATACGAAAGCTACACTCTCCTAAACGGCCTAAACAATAGAAACGGTAAAAAACAATAGGAAGAACAGTAATCATATTTAAGGTAATTACACTTTGTTGATATTATCTAAACCGTGATGTCACAGAAGAGAAAAAAACAGGATCATTTATGCTATCAAATGAATGATAAGATTTCA